TATTATCTTTAATTAAATAACTTGCGGATGGCATTCAGGTGCTGTCTTGCGGATTAGCTGTAACAGCTTTCGTGCACTCCAGCCTCACCGGCCTCTTTCATTTTTGTCTGAGTATATAAATACTCAAAACGATCATTGAAGAATATGATGCCAGGTGTTAGCTCGTTGTGACGTGACTGAATAAAAAGGATTTCAACCCATAAACTGCTGAAAATCGTCAACTTGCAGAGTGCCAGAAAACTTGGACACTGAGCTGCCTGGGATGTATTAACAGTCTACCCGCCAAAATCCGGTAGGTAGAGGGCAAATTCTTTAGTTCGTTAGTAAAGTACTCGAACTTCGGGGGAGGTTCGACCAGTGGACCAAAACAGTTATGTTCTATATGTGTTGCTGGCATGCTAGCTGCATAGCTTAGCAAGTCCGACGCTATAGACCTGTTTGTGAAAGACTGGACGAGGAATCCTCGGTACACTCTAAAAGATCGCCGCGAAGATTTAAAGCAGATAATGGTTATCAATGGAAGCATTAGGATACTGCTAAAGAACCTCTCAACGTGATATTTCCTGAGAATGATTGGGCAAATCACGTGTCTCAGTATATTTTTAGTTGAATCGCTCTGGTGACAGCGGGGAAGAATAATTTGCTATCAGTTAGTACCCCTCAAAACTTCTTGATTTCACGCAACTTTCATATTTTCGCAAAGACCAGTAGCGGTTAAATCCTACTTAAGCATTCCTCGTCAAGGAACATCTTCCACTCGGCCGGAGTGTGCCAAAGTAACTGGCTTCAGCCAGAACCAGAGAAAATTCTACATCAGCTGATGTAATAAGACATGGATCCTACGACAACGTGCTCATGAATTGTGGCTAGCGCGTCTAACAGTCACACATAAGTTACACATCTATCTGGACTTTGGTGTCTCTTCTAGGCTCACAAAAGGGAAGCAGCAAGAATACCAGATATATAAGAACTCACATTGCCACCCTCCCATGTGTCGAAGCATATGATGTCAAACTTTGAAATGCATTTTGCAACAGCTTAGGTCTGCCTGAACCAAGTCATGTTAAAGCGTTCTGAGTTTGTTAAGAGATTGTCGTTGAACGTGACGTACCTTATTGCACATGTAAACCTGGACCACTGTGTGTTAATCTGTCTAGCACGTAATACGTAGAATTTTTTCTTGCCGCAGCGAAGCTACAGTGAATCCAGGAAACACTATCTTCAGATAAGATATGGCCAAATGTGCTGGTCATAAATGTAGCCATCTATCCAAATCCTAGGTAATGAACATGATTACGGCCTGACCCTTGATATCAAGGGACATAAGAAAGCAGAAAACGGTCATGACATACTGATTATCTGGTCGGCGTACATAAGTCACAAAGAAAAATCGAAAGTGTAGCATTAAGCACATATTAACGCGCAGACGACTCCACCTAACTGACATTACAATACTCAGACTTGCGGGGCTTACTCAGACTTACAAATGGTGAACAAGATACTGGTGAACAAGATACAACAAACCTGTGACACTGTAGAATATGACAGAACGTATCATAACATGACCCTCACCGAGAAGGTTGGATAAGTTGACATTGATAGGATGTTCTGATTCACGGACCATAGTCAACAACATAATGAACAAAAACGCAATCATCCGGATTAGTTCTCTGGAGCTGGGTCAACTCAAAAACAGTAACATCCTATCAAGCCTGCAGCAGGCACTCAACCTTGAAGCGCAAACATACCTTTGACACCACCTTGTCATTGTGAACCACTAGCATCACTACTTGCTATGCAGAACGAAATTCCTCAGAACAGGAGGAATACTAGCCTAGAAGTCGCCTCGCGCTGATATGATGCTTACCAAAAATACCCGGAAAAATCCCACGCGATTCTACCTACTGGACCACTGCGCAGTATCGACCTCTAACTTCCCCAGATTAGGACTCCCAACTCACCAGTGCCACTACATGAGTTGCTTTTCTCCGTTTGCTTTAACTTTGTTCCTTTTTCCAAAGAAGAAAATAAGCAGAAGGAACCAAACGGAAAAATTAACGGGAAAATAAATTGAAATAGCAACAGCAGTAAAACCTAGTCGTTTGTGTTGCAACTGGTCAGCTATGGGCAAACTTTTTTACGCAAATGCAGGAGAGTTATGGTAGCTATACTACGTCTAGACATCACTGCAATTTGTGGACAACCTCCAGTTTCTGTGGAACCTTGAAAAAGTCTGTTGGTTTGACAAACCCTGAATTACTCAAAAAGCTGAACTGGAAGTTGCAATCTTTCTCAGTATTCTTCATGCTCAACGAGACTAATTAGACGGCTGAGTACAATATGGACTTTTCCAATAAAGGACAATGCACACTTCAGGAGAGGAGACTAAGCCATGTCATTCGATTAGGTTACAGACCATACTTACTCGCGTACGAGCGGCAAATCCACCGGTTCACTGTAGGAAGAACTTAATGTAGTTCACAATAGGTGACGTCATTTTAGACGAAGCACACCAGTCATTACGGGAAAACTTTCCTATTGTGACCTCCAAATTGACAAGCACATCAAAAAACCACACGAGTGTCACATGCATATAATAAATGCATCATGGCATGGGTGACCAGGCCACCGCTGCGATAGCACAATAAAACTCACAACCAAAATATGCCGGAAAAACGAGTCACTGGCTCTTAAGTTATGTGTAAGCATCACGAAATATAGGCGTGCTTGGTCACCCAACTCACCTCCCCTGCTTTAGCCTTCTCATATCTCCCAGTCTATACTTCCATATCTCCCAGCGGACTAGGAAGTATTTCCTGAGCTAATAGCACTTCACCAAACATCTACCGCATTCCTGTTTAGCCCCGTAGTAACCAGGAGGAAAATTCGGAATTAGGTTTCCCGTATTGCAGAACCCAGGATTAACCTATAAGGACGAATTTGCCGCCGCCAACCAGAACGCCAATCAGTTTTATCCACTAGCCTTTGTATTCATCGGGTCAACGAAAACCTGGTTAACTTCATATTCGTGAAAGTTGCATTTTCTTGGTGTGAACAAATAAATTTGAAAACAAATATGCGAGCTAATTCGGTTTACCTAAACTGACTCTCTTTTAGCCAACAAAGCTCAGCTCACTGATCACCAGAACTTAATTCCGATCAAGCATTGGGCTGATATTCACTCATTTTACTGTCAGTCGGTCGAGGGAACTGAAACCCCTCAGAACACTAAGTGCTGACTGATCGACACGAGCGCTAGGCAACCCGAAATGATCAAGCATGACTGAAACCATTATGGTTTTACTGAATGACCAACACCCGCATTTCGAATAAACTCAAGTGCGATCGGTTGAAAACTTGAGAACGGCTTGTACCTTGGTGTAAAATACCTAATACTGGTGCTCGCCGTTATTCCATCACGCTTAGGGTAGCTGATATGTCTGGACAAATCTGTTTGCCCGTCCTTTTCGTTCCCTCGGATACACATCAATACCAGCCGCTTGCATCAAATACCATACAACCCCCCGCGAACCTCTTGTGGCTTACCTACTGTGTGTAGGCATCCAGCGGACCAAACACTGTTGACCATTAATCACAGCATATTGAATAACTCTATTAACTGCTAGACTGTAAAAATACGTAAAAAGTGCTTGCAATAGTAGACAAACGACTAAAATCCTCATCCTGCTTTGACGGCTAGAAGTCAAGTTTGGTAACCACCAGATGCCATCGTGAATGACTGAGTAGTTACACGCCTACTCATGAGTAGCCTTATCTCTAAGTCATTTTCAGGCATAGGCAAAACTAAGGCAACCGCCGAATGCTCAATGGTATGCAGCATCCTGGTGGTACGACAAAACTTCCGTGAGAGGCTTCGGTCCGCTTACAGGAAGAAATCTCCATCAAAGTGACCAACAATACAATAACAATTCAAACTAAGCGAATTACGTATTTCAAACAGGTGACGGACTCGGAGTCGCCACTGCAGAAGAATAGTGTGAACGCGCAATAGGGGGCACTCAGAATTCGCAACCGAATGTACACAGCTATAAAGGGGTGGAATGAAAACACGCGATGTGGGGGGTCATGTTACATATGATGGAGCTACAGAAGTGCGGAAACTCTTAGCAGTAAAAAAACCAGTCAGGTGACTCGGCGACATCAGTAGACGACTGAACGTTTCGAGTGGATGCTTTGCAACCGGATCAGGCAACCGCCACAAATTCGATGGTCCACAGCGCGAACAGAATGACCAGGGAAGCTTGCCCGTAAAAAGTTAAATTGCGATCAGTTCGTAACAACGTCTGCATTGTCCACCGACTTTAATTCCAAGCGACAATTTATTCACGAAGTCACTGTATTCCATCAAGTTAGCATTCTAGGACGGAAATGTATCCTATAACTCGTTTTTGACGAATGCGTGTTGCTCACTAGTAAATCCTAGGTAGAATGAAGCGACGACTTCCGAACCTTCTTGTTTACACATACCACGTAACTGAGCACGTGACACATGACAGTAAATTATGAATGCACTAGTAATATGTACATTCGCTTCAGCACTCACATTCACTGACACTTGAATTTCGATCCCCATTAAGAACCTGATAATTCCACCAAAAGGGCAATTGCGCCACGGTTCACAAACACCAACTTAAGGAGCCATCATCAAGGCAACCAGCGGAAAGATCATACTGCTGACGCCTCTCATCTTACACTCACTTTAGCCCAAGCACTAGGACTGACCGCTTTGTTGGCCGTGCATCACACTGAACTGCGGCTTCCGTGTGTCTGGCCTCAGTATGAAACCTAAGCACTTCGAAGCCCGTTTTGAAACACCAAATGCCGGCCTAGTTTTCCTTCCTTTAATGCTCGCGCACCGAAGTAAACAGGAAAACAAGTAGCACATACGCCGGATGCCTTCTGCACTGATACGCGTTGTCTGTCAGAAACAATGATACAACTACTGTAGTTAAACTGACTGCCTCTTCACTCTCTTCCAGGTCCCGGCTGCTCATCTCTGACGATGTAACTGGATATATCTGGGTGGATATAGTGTTGGGCGACTGAGCGGAAACGTCGCTGCTTGACTGGATACATGTTGACAGTCGCCTCTGCGCGATTCGTCTGGCAATGACTATAAAAGAATCCCGAGAAAAGGAAGTCCAACGTACCCGGTTTATTGTGTCCACTTACGCCCCGACGGACTTTAGCTCAGAATTTACTACAGTTTCAATGGCACTCTAGGTGATAAAATCTCATTGTAGCAGCTGCTGGTGACATGAACACCCAGGCAGGTATACTAAGCGTCGGTGAGGCCTAGCTGGGTGGCCGTATTGGTTTGGACACGGGGAGCACGAACGTAAATGTTCGGATGTTCGCCGATAAGACTGTTCCTCTGCAATATCAACTTCCGGATTATCAGTAATCTGTACCAAGGGGTACCCATCAACCAAACAGTCCCGAATCCACATCACCATTAGTTACCAGCGGGTCGATCACTACCTGCCGTTACTTCCGGAATACCAGTGTGGACCCCGACTATTCCCTCGTTCACTGCCATTTTTCACTGAGCTTTTCGGGTCTACGCAAAATACACAGACCTTGTCTATCCTCTGATCCAGAAAGCAAATGAAAATAGCAGGCTGTTCGAACCACCGCCGGGTGGCCCGATGTCAAACATTAATGGCCACTGAGAGAGCATCCAAAGCGCAACTCAATGACGGAAAATCGGTTTCCAGTACAAACCAGCCAACCTCATCCAAAAGATGGACCTCTGATAGAACCGTAGCTTTTCTGGAGGCCCGGCGAAAGATTTCTCCTGGCTGCAAAGACAACTCAACCCTTAGCCACGTGAAACTGACTGTACGTGCTTGGTGGACCCGAAAGGCCAGAATGGAAGACGTCGAAAATGTGGCTAACGTCCACGACCGGAGTGAATCGAAAATAGTGCCCATCTTCAAAATGGGTACTTGCGGTGAATGTAGTAATGACGGTGCTATCAGTATGACCTCCGTTGGAAAAGGGAGCCTGGCCTCACTGACTCGTTGTCCAATGGTGGGACGCGAATCCTTAACCCGTGAGGTTGATTTACACCGGAAAGGGGCTGTGTCGACTGCAACTTTGCACTCCGTTAGGTGTTACAACAACGTCATACGTAGAGATGACCCACAATATTGGTGCTTCCTGTGTTCAAACGTTCAAATAGATTTTGTCGATGTCACTCACACAGAAGGCTTTTCCACAGAAGTTTATGAACAGAATCCGGACCCCATAATCACATACTTGTGAGTGTGTGTACGGTGAGCTCTCTAAAAGCTTCCCGACAAAAGTGAAGTCAACGAGAATGTCCACTCTACGTTCTTGTTCCACTTCATTGTCAGTAAAATAATGAGAACCCTAGGTCTTCAAAACCCCGGTGTGCAAATCGTTGCTGGTGAGCATCTCGTCAATCTGGAGTACACAGACGATATCGTCCTCATCTTTGAGGATGAAGGGGAAGCACGAGCCCTGCTGAGTAGACCGACCACCAATACACCATTTTTTGGCACGCGTCTTGCAACGTCTTGCTTGAGAAGGTACAGTCTCTGAAGATATCCCTTAAAATTCAAGAAGAATCAGTGGAGCTTGTGGAGACAAACAACGTATGACCTGGCAGAAGGGTGTAAATGGCTATGAAGAGTTTGGGTATTTGGTGCCGTCAGTCTTCAAGGATGGAATGCTCGCAATCACTCCCGCGTTTGGCTGGAGACACTGCAAGAAATGGCAACTAATCAGTGTCAGTTTCCAGATTGTCTGAGCGTTTGGAGGTTCAGGAAGCCCGGACTGCTTGTGACAGGCCAGCACCGAGTCGCATCCCTCACCCACCTATTGTTTCCGTTCCATTAGGTTTTCAATACAGTTGGTTGTGCAGTAGTGAAGCAACAGTATCAACACTGATGTTGCTGTCTCTGATGCTGATTGTGTTCATGGATAGCCGATACAATACGTACGACAAAACTAAACGAAAATACTACTAGAGGAGTCCATGATATATGACTACGCAGTTCAAAGTATAAACATACCGGTTATCAGGAAACTGAGAATTTTCTAGAGGTCAGTCAGTTGCGACTGTGATATTAAGAGCCTGTTTACTCAGAATGACAAAACTTCAGTTACCTAGTCGTAAATTCTTCTGGGCATGTTGCATTTGGCAGTAACCCAGATAAAATAGACTGTGCTGGAGAAATTCATGTCTCTGAAGCAAAGATATTCATTAGTCAGTGTGATCCCTACAGGTTAGCCCTTAGAAGACAGACGTCTTTTGGAAGACTCACCCTCTACTGACTGTCCGAAAGTCAGTAATCAGTCCTGCACAGATGAATTCTACTGAGTTTTTTTATGTAATTTAGATTCGGGGTTGGGGTAAACTTAAACTCCCTAAGGGAACGCTACATTCGACTGCGCGGACAAACACCGGGTTGCAACCTCCTAAACCATCTACTACTGAGGAGACCATCTTCGATCATACGGTCACTGTAGAGGAGTTTCGACGCAACATCGGTCTCTATTTATGTATTACACAACTACGTTTCCAGGACCTAACCCAAACAGTGGGACAATTTGTGGAGTATCCTTAATGAAAAAATAACGAGATATGAAAAATACAGTTCGTTCGCAAACAAAAAACTATGGAGAGACAAGAGTAGAACTAACAAACACACTGAGAAGTATGGATAAGGAGGTGGGGTTGTGGTTTTTGGCGTAGCGGAAACATTTCAAACATAGCTAGCTGTCCATAGGATGTGCGTAAGCGTTTACCAAGTGAGAAGACAACATGAGGTGAGTACGTAAGAGGATGCTGATGGTCAAGATGATAAGAAAGTGACACGAAAGGCGACGGTGGTAGATTGGCGGGAAACTGGAGGCAGATCACAATAGAAGCCAGATTAAGGGAAAAATCTAACTAGGCCATCCGACGAACGTCTGGGACGCGAAAAGCACCATCAATCGACGACCAGTGCGTGGTTCTGTAGGTAGAAAATAATGTAAATATCAGGTGGGATTACGCCCGATAATTTGACAAGATATGAAAGACGGCGCGAAACTCACATATGAACAAAAACGATCACCTATAATTAGACGACAAGTTCACCCTAACGACCTGCATGGTATGGCCTTTGTCCCTAAAAACGTGTCCACGATGCCTTCCTACCTTGGGATTAAGACAGCTCGCTCTAAAGTGAACCTGACTGTCATGGCCGTCTACACTCCTACTCTTTCATATGACCTATCTGTTGAAAACCATTTCTACAAGATACAACGAGTGGTCAACCGTGCGATCAAATGCCATATCCTGATGGTGGCTGGTGACTGGGAGGCGAGAATAGGGGCTTCAAACGAAGCCATCTGCCACATCCACCATAAATTCGAATTAAGACAACTTTGCAAAAGTGGTGGTCGATTTTCGACTTCAGTCGACTCATAATATCTAACGCACACATCCGGCATCTCCATGGCATCTCCACTGCTTCTCAAAATAATTACACGCTGGTTACAGCCAGATGAGCATCTGCTATTGAAGACTGCAGATCCTACAGGAGAGCAGAAACCGAGAAGAAATACACAAGGTTAGGACCTCACCTTGCCGGGATCTACAACAGGAATCAATGTAATCCACTTCGAAAACCCCCAAGAGTACCTTCAACTCGCAGGTTTGATCACTAACTCACTTACCGCGAAGTCACCAATTCCTCGAATTCAATCAGCATTCGCCGAGGAGCCCTGTTCTGGCTCCATTGAAAGACATCTGTCCAGCATCCCGCCGCATCGCATCTCGAATTCACACTGCGACGTCACCAAAACTGAGTATCTGAAAAGACCATATCTCTCTCTCAGCATCCTGCGTAAATGTGTAGGGGTAACGTCTCCGTTTCCGAAACATACGTCCTAGGCCATCAGTTCGGACCCAAAAGATCGTGTAGACAGCTGGTCGGAAACGGCACTCAGCATGGAGATAGTGAACTCCTGCTACGATTCGCGACATTTTCGTCGCGCCTCAGGCCAGCAGTAAGGTCAATCGTCCTCGAGACGTTCACGAGTGAAGGGACGGTTTGGACATGATTCTACGAAATTCCCTAGGTTTGGACACATAGCCCGCAAACCTGTTGTGAATAATATGGTGAAAATCGCGCTGTTGTACTGGGAGATATTTGGAAACCTGCATATCAGCTAAGATCGAAGTCGAGCTAATGGGTTTGGGTGGTGAACAGACTGGACCCTATCATGGTGCGATGGCTTGGGTGCCTCAGTAAGCCAGTGACCCGTACTTGGGGTTGCTCGTTCAGCATGCAGTCCCTCCTATCAGGTTGGTGAATGAATATAGGCCTAACAAACGCAGTCTCCCTTCCTCTCCAGGTAAGGGGTTGAAAACAAGTGTGGAAATATGTTCCTTAGGATTTGGGCAACTTGTCTTAAAACAACCGCCGCTACCTTATGGTCAAGCTTTTGAGTCAAAGGATTCGGTTGAGGACCTTAATCGTCCTCCTGTTCAGGTTCGGGTACCCCGGCAGTCTCAGCCAAGACACAACCACGGGCTTTACAGACAAAAACGCCTTAATGCCACATCTGCCGTCATGTAGTGACATCGCTCGTAGCCATATTCGCCGCGGATAAGCGAAAACACGCGACTGCTGACGCCTCCTATCTTTCTTAACTGTTCCACCTCAACTACCGTCCTACCCAGTTGAGTCACTCTTATGTAGGTGCCAGCTGTAGGCATTTCAGTCAGGCACCTAAGGAACTTACAAATTGCACTAGGCCCACATCTACCGCTCGGCGCCCAATATTTAGACCTTATTCTTCTATTTTTATTGCAGCCTTTAACGTGAGAACTCTTAAACATACCGGCAAAGATGTTCTTCCATGTACTCCAGATACTTTGTCGAATGACGTCTTTCGCATCTCTGAAACTCGAATACAGGATCTGAATACAGTGTTTCAGCTTACGGCATCCCCTCTCTATCTGTATGCTACAGACTTCGAG